AAGGAAGTCCTATTGCACGCCCTTCGAAAGAAACCAAGTTCGCGGGATACACAATCTTCATAATTGATGATTTCATTGAAAGGGATGATTGTTTATCATCTTCATCTTCATCGTTTTTCTAGAATTTAGTTCTCATATAAAATAAAAAAATAAATAAATGAATAAATGAAAGAGTTTGTGAGTTTACATATTTCAGCGAGCATCATCATGACAAATAGAGCAAGGTTCGATTCCATAGATGAAATATTTGGGGTCCGAGATGAAAAAATCGGGAGCCTTAGTGATAGGCAAACATACCAGACGCGACGATCTAACAATTGGTCCAAAACTTAAACGCGCGATTTGATCAGCTTAAGCGACAACCACAGAAGAGAGGTATACCCCAATCATCCATGGAGGGTTCAGCATGCTTGGAGGACGAGCAAGAAGAAGGCGAAACTAAAAAACGCTCACAAGGTTCGAACAACCGTGAGGGGTCGCAGTTCAAAAAACCGAGGCTAGGCCTTTTCACCTTCAATGGGACGGATTCGGATGCTTGGTTGAGTCGAGCTACTCAATACTTCGACCTCAACGAGATTCCAAGGGCTGAAAGGGTGAAGTACACCGCGTACTACCTAGATGGAGACGCGAACGTATGGTGGCAATGGATCTCGCGTGTCTATAGAAAGAGGAACAAACAAATTTGGTGTATTGATTTGGAGAAAGAGCTAGTCACACGATCTGGGTCATCAGAATACTGCGATTATGACGAGAATTTGTCCGATATACTTCAAACAGGCAGCTTAAGTGATTATCAAAAGGAGTTCGAGCGAATAGCAAGCCGCGTACGTGACTGGCTACAAGAAATCTGCCAAAAAGTGACAAAATTCATGTGACGAAAAAAGAATAGTCACCGTATGTTTCCATATGGTTACGAATGTAAGAAATCGTCATTACATCATTGCATACGGCGACGACTACAATATTCGTCATCTTAGAATTTATTTTTCGTCACATAATGGTATTTTTCACGACAATGTACCTAAATTCGTCATCTATACATCTAAATTTGTCACATGTATATAAAATGTGATGAAATTAAATGTGACAAACAAAATGTCGTCACTGTTGCTATTATTTAAAATGATGATTGCGTCAAATTCATCATTATCTAATTATTTATCGTGACGATACATTATAATACATCTAAACTCGTCGCATTAATAGATATTATGACGAAATTCAGTGCGACGAAATAAATGTCGTTGTTTTTTTAATTATTTGAAATGACGCTTACAAAAGATCCGTCATTATATAATTTTGCTTTGTGACGATAAGTTATAATTCATCTAAATTCGTCACATTAATACATATTATGACAAAATTCACTATGACGAAAACAAATTCGTTGTTTTTTTTTTTTTTATTTAAAATGACGCTTACAAGTAATT